TCTTTTTTTTTATTTGTTCGGTCGAAGTATTAATTTTTTTCAAAAATTAATTAATTCTGTGAAGAAGACCAAGAGCCAGTCACGCCTGGACAGACCGCAACATCGTCTTCTTCAGTACCACGACCTCCTCGGAAAGGGTCCCGAGTACGCAAGCCCAGGAATCCATATACTCCTAGTTAGTTAGTTTTATTTTTTGTATTGGATTTTTAGATATTTAATTTGATGGTTTTGTGTACTAGATTTTTATCGTTAATTAATTTGATGGTTTTTGTGTACTAGATTTTTATCGTTAATTGTGCTTCACTTTTTTGTACTAGATGATTAGTTGACGAATGAATTGATATTAAAGTGATATTGTTTCGTGTTAAAAATGTTAAATCAAAATTTATAAAAAATCTTCATATTGAAAGAGAATAATATAAATTCAGCCAAAATAAACGCGTTCGGTAGTAGGAAGCTCGTGAGCATCCAAGAGTCGAGCCCTAACTCAAAATAAATAAATAAATAAACAAAACCAAAAAATTAAATTTTATTATATAACAATCTCAGTCAATTATAAAATATATGTATATAGTATATATTAAAAAAAACTATATACTATAAAAAATATTTATATTCTAAATCTACATAAACACGGATTATCAAAATACGTGTTTATTTTAATATAAAAAAAATGAATAAATAATTAAACACGTATTATCATAATTCGTGTTTTACGAAACACGTATTATCAGAATTCGTGTTCCGTTTAATTAATTAGTTTAATTACGAGATTAAGTAAATACGTATTTTAGTAATCCGTGTTCCGTTCATAATTAACAGAACACGGATTTTTGGAATCCGTGTTCGTAGTAAAATTACACATACACGTATTTTCAAAATACGTGTTTTGTTAAAACACGGATTGTGAGAATCCGTCCGTTTTATTTTTGTCCACAATCTTTTTTTTTTTTGTTTTATTTTAGTCCACTTATTTTTTATTTTTTTTAAATAAATAAATTTATGTGAAATATTCTTAATTACTCATACTCGTCCTTTTGCACGTGGACTGCTATATTTTTATGTTTTAAATTTTAACTAGTACAACATCCGTGTATTACACGGGTGCTTGTTAAAAAATTATTCTTAAATTTTAAAATTAATAAGAAAACTATATTAAATTTAGTTTACTTTTTTACAAAAAAAAATATATTACTATATATTTTAGAATGATATGTGTTATTTATGACTTACATGTGTTATATTATATTAGTTTTTATAACTTATATCATATAACTACTTGAAATATAAATATATTAGTTGATAAATAATTTTATTTTTCTAATTAATATTAAAAATAATTTTATTATTGTTATAAAGATAAATATTTATATTTTTTATACATACAATATGGATGTCAAATCGAAGCTCATCAAAAGAAGATTAATTTGATATGTTACATACGTAAAACTGATAAAAAATACAAAAGTTATTAACTTTTAAAATATATATACAATTTAATAGTTATAATAAGGAATGATATTAGAATACAATTAATACATGTAACATGACCATAAATAATCAACATAATTATGGTAATCCGAACCTAATTATTTTTGTTTGAAATTAAATTAAAATTTACCCAAGCCTAATAATGAAGCATGTAATTTTGCCACATATGATTCTGAAGCACCAGAAGCAGCCACGTAGACTCAGCGCGTTCTGGATTAATATATAGGGGAGGGGATAAGGTGATTTATATTTTAGTTACTGATTCAAGTGTCAATTTTTTTCTAAAAAAAAATAAAATAATTTCTCTCCAACAACATGCCATTATCATTAATTAGTTAATTGCAATTGTGGCTTAAGGTTAGTGCTAATTGTTTTTAATTTTTTTTTTTTATCGTTACAAAGAAAG